GGAAACCCTTACAGTTTCCATTCTCATGGAAACAGACTTGAGGATAAGTTGTTGGAGCATGTTGTTCTAAGTAAATACAACTTATAATAATTAAACAGCAAATAGCTAAAATATTATTTTATATACATGGAAAAAACAGGATGCACCAAAACCTTGTTTGGGACTGGAGAATTGCTGTATTGTATATTGTGATAAAGAAAACATTCCAGTAATGTGAAAAGACACTTTGCTGTGTCTTGGAATGCTTAATGAAGGCACTTTGCTTCAGTGCAGACCAATTTTCTCAGCAGGGTGAAGCTGTAAAAACCTCACTTCTGAATACATAAGAAGAATCTGGAAATATTAAAGGATAAGCACTTATCCTGTTTTAAAGCAAAATACCCTGTTTTTACTGCCTGGCTGCTACAGCGTTTACACAGGCTTGGGGCCCCTATACATTTAAAGGAGGTGGGCTCCTGTCCCAGTAAGGAGAGAATTGGGGAGGGGGTTTGTGCCACACTGGTACATAGGACACCAGAGAGCCTGGCCATACCACTTATTCCCCTTTACACAGACTCTACCTGTGTAAACAAACATAACATTGGGGAAAACAATTTGGCAGAGGAATGCCTATTACATTTGTCTCCACATTCTCCAGTCACCTGAAATGAAAGCTTAATGGACCATTTCAGTCAGCAAAAGGCATTGCTTAACCTTGTAGCCAGTAGAGGCGTCTGCAGCGATCACAGTATGTGTGTGTATTTATAGGCTGTTACAAGGTAAGTAGTAACAGACTTTGTAAACCTCCCAAGCTGGGTTTGGTGCATTCCATCCTTGAAGTGTTTAGCTTACTAATTATATGGAGACTGTAATATTATAAGCAAAATAACAACATGTACAGTGTGAGAGCCATTGTATATTTTCAGAGATGGTGCCGTTTGTGGATAGAGAACTGATGCAACGTTTAGGCCTGCAAAACATCATTGTTTAATGAAGTCCTCAGAGTATCACAGTTAGGGATTGTTGTGGTTGTGGCAGGGTTCTTTTTTTAAATTCCCTAGACAGATCTAAAAAGCAGACTTTTCCCT